TAATATTACAGGTGTTAATTTTGTTGACGAGTTACTGTTTCGCCGTAAGTTCTGGGTATTCAAAAAAAGTCCCCAAAATGTCACAAAAGTAAATTGACCTAAATTCCACCATTTTTTTCAACAGAGAGAAATTCTAGTCTACACAACCTGTTTTACCTGAAGTTTTAGGGGTGGTGCACGTGACATTTTAGGGGGTGATTACGGTTTTGAGGTACTTCCTTTAGTGAGTGAATGTTTTCAAGTAGCTTAATGTTTTAATAAGACAAAACAAATAGTTCTAGTGACAAAGATAAATCAGGCCTCCTGTACATTTTGTAATTATCACACATATAGAAATGACATTTTAGGGGTGGTGTTTTTAAAACGAACTCATTTCAACGTCAGAAAAATTGTACCTTATTCTATTTTCAAATTTCCAAATCTTGGCAGGCTAGAAAAAGGTTTAAATATTATTCCTAGACACTTCAGAACCCTGTAAATTTAGCCCTAACTAGGCAATCTGGGCCCCAAAAACATGTTTCCAAATCGGACACAAATGTTTCCACGAACACGGATTAATCTTCTGCGGCGAGCGCGATCTGTTTATACTGATAAAACCCCTAAGTGTCAACAACTTTGAAAGATTTTTAGCGCCGCGCGGTAATACACGCATTTACAAATTTTTACCCCCCTTCCGTAATCAACCGTTATCAAGACCCAACCCCCCCTCCTGACAGCAAAAGTACGTAATCATGGCCTGACCCCCCCCCCCCCCCCCCCCCCCCCTTGACTATTTTCCTAGAAAACACTTTATCTACGTTTCATGCTACCCTGATCATGCTATGATGATGAGCCGAAATCATTGTTATGATATCCGGCCAAGCAACTTCTAAACTACTTACTACTGCAGGGTGTCAGAATTATTGGCGTGTTTGAAATTTTATGTGTATTTTATGATGAAATCAATATTTTTCGCCGGGTCATAACTTTACTTCTGAATATCTAAATTACCAAATTCAAAAACTGTTCTGTAGATAATCGTCTGAAATTTTTCTTAATTTCAGAATTTTGTGTTGATGTACCTCAAAACCCATAATTTAGGCCGTTATTTAAAGGGTCGATTCCATACTTGGTTAGATTTACGAAAGAGTAAGAGATTTTGTGTAATTTTTTTTCGGTGAATTTTTTCTGAAATTATTCTTTAGGCTAAAGTGCACAGCTCTTCAGGCGATAGCGAAACATATAGAAAACTATAGATTTTATAAAAGCTTTCTTTCTCCTCTAACTGACGCAATAAAATATAGTCAGGCGGACTCATCCTGGAATTTAGGGTAAGCAGCCGAAGGCTTTAAGTCCAGTAATCCAAATTTTTCTCTTTCGTCGTGATTATCGACAAAATTTAACTTCTTTCGGACTTCATTTTTAGACTAAACTGTAGTATGAAGGATTATTTCTTGAATGATCAAGACTCCATAGGAAACTGACACTCAGAAGTCAAGTAATGATCGTTTCTAAAAGCTTGGGTGGGCTAAAATTTTACGCAAAATTGTCTACACGCCAATAATTATGACACCCTGCTGTATTATAGCCGGATATTCGATCAATTTCTAAATTTTATCACTATCAGAGTGAAATTGAGTGGAATTTGAATTAAAATATTGTCAAATTGTTATTATTCTAGAGGGTAAAAAAGAAAATGTTGATAACGTAATCAACGACCAAACCCCCCTCTATGTGTTATGATTCATGTTTGACTATTAATAATAATTATTTTCCTCAGGAGACGTACGTGCGAAAGACAAAATTTGCCTAGCTAAAGAAATTCTAGCTAAGAAAGCAGAGTTCAGAGCAGAATTGAAGCAGAAAGCTGCCGACCAACATAAACACCTCTCAGCGCAGCAACACAAAACAAAAAAAGGTGGCACCCAATCTATTCACCCAACTCCTGACAGTACATGGAATCACCCCAGACAATTACAGACTTCCTCTGGCGTTTGGTCTTCTCCCTGGAAAGCGGCAAGAACACTACACAAACCTACTAGAAGAACTGGATCGCTTTGGACCTTTCCAGCCAGACACCGCCCTTTGCGATTATGAAGCTGGGCTACGGAACAGTGTCACTGCTGTCTGGCCCGGGACTACTCTACGTGGCTGCTACTTCCACTTCAAACAGGCTCTATGGAGGAACTTCGCTCGCTCCGACCTTGTTCCGGAGTATCAGGTGGTTGGATCCGACATCCGGAAAGCCTTCCAACGGATCGGAGCTCTACCTTTCATCCCTCCTGGTGACGTCCACTACGCATGGCAGACCCTTAGAGTTAGACCTATCCTCTCCGCAGATATGGATGTCTTTACATTATACTTTAAGTCCACGTGGATGGGAACACCAAACAGACCTGCTCGTTTCGATCACCTGTCCTGGAACCAGTACGATTGCTGTCTAACTGGTCTCCCACGCTCTTTGAACCTTGCAGAAGGATGACATAATGGTTTCCGCAGCCTCGTCCAGTGTTCAAATCCTACCATCTGGAAATTCCTTGAAGCCCTCAAACTAGAGCAAGGACTAACAGACCAGAAGATCACGGATAGGCTGATGAGAAGACCTCCACCCCAGAGAGCTGCCAAGTGGATAAGGTACGACTCCCTTCTGGAATCCTTCATGCAAGCCTACAATAACCAGGAGTACGAAGTCATTGATTATCTCTCTGCTGTTTTTGCTGCACTATGAATTCGACATTTGATTATTGATATTAACGGTTTTATGATATTGGTATTTAGTTATACTTTCGATTGTACTATATTTCAACCTTACTGCTAGGTTATTTGATCATTGTTGAACTGTGTTTCAACGATCAATGCTTAAATTATTAGAATCTTCAATTATGTTAGGCTTGAACTACTGTGAACACAATAGAGAATTAGATAGTCAGCCAGGTCTAATGATTCCATTTTATCTGCATCATCCGAAAGTATTTTGTACCTTTTATTTGTGATCTTCATTGACACAATATTTGTATATCCATAACCCTGTAACACGAACAGTTTTAATATCAAAACCGAGTCTTAACTGTTAGGTTATTTAAAATAGCTGACATCGCTTTCGTAATTGGTGCATCGTGTGACCACCCAGACCACGGAGAGGAGATCTCAGTCATTCCTCTAGCAAAGCAGCCAGTTTAAATTGAGAAGAGTAGCCCCTGATGGGTGGTTACAGGTTATCAGGAAGAGAGAGCATGAACTGGACGAGTTTTGATTTAAGATGGTGTAATTCAGATATTATAGGCTAGGGCATTGCATTCAACAATTTTGGGCCTGCACTTGCAGATGAATCTCCGTACAGCGACGGATTCGCTGCCAAGCTGTGTCTGCAGATCGAATGACTGCAAGGTTTCTAAAACATGGCCAGGAGACGAACTGCAATGTTGACAACCGTTTACTTAAAGATTTTAGAGTAAGCATTTCATGGAATGTTTCGACTGTAATCTTGAATATGACTGAAATGAATTATTGATAGAATAAAATGTGTTTGAATTCTTGTCTTGCTGTAACAAGGAACCCACTCAATTTGACCGAGATTATTCAATAAATATTAAGAACTTTATCAATCTAACTATTAATTAATAGACATTTTGTAGAACTGATAATCGCATGTCATACTCATAGTAACCTTTGAGCAGTACTCTAATTATAGTCTAAAACAATTTATTGCGCTGGTCTGTGAATTGTACTGGTTGGTAAAATAGCCAAGAGCTTGCTGAAACCATGCAAACGCCCCCGTAGGTATAGTGGTTGTATGTGAAGACATGTACCACGAGATCAAGTTCAACAATAATCTCACGAAAAGAGAGATAAAACATACCAATACCATTATCAATGACACTGGCTGAATCAAATTATTATATGGCCATTTGTATGTCAAACAATACGAAAAAATAAAAGTTTGGCAAGGAATAAGTTTTGGGCCAGCAAGTTGCAAGTGCGAATTGGTAATCAGAACTAATGGTGCAAATAATCATACGATAATTGATATGGTATAGTCGGTTAAGTTGATCGACTACAGTATATATGATATAGTACATGACAGTAATTTTGTATCAAGACACTTATACATATTACTTCGAAGTATTCCAACAGCTACATTGTTACACACGTGCAACCAGCCAATTGCAGGAAGCCGAAGGATTTATTTTGGCCAGTGACTGTTAAACTTAAAGTAGTGTGTACCATACTTACTTCGCCCGAGACTGCTGCAATGTGCAGCTCCTCATTTAACCCTCACACCCGATTTCCCGAGTATTCGGCTGAGTATACCGGGGGGCTGCATAGACCACTCAGGATCCTTAGCTGAACGTCAACGACGCTTACCCCACAACCAGGCAGACAGTGGGATTCGAACTCGCAACCTCGCGGTTGCAAAGCTGGTGTTCTAACCAACTGCGCTACCTCTCCGTTGCGAGAAAGGAGCCTTCCCCTCATTTCCAAATATAGTCATTTGTGACGTCATAACCATAGTAACGCCATAACCATAGTAACGCCTAGCGATACATAATAGCGACGCGCATGTTATTTTGATATTCGTTTGTTTTATTTGCTGCGCGGTGTAAATATTTATTTTGACCAGTTATTTAGTCATAACTTTTTATAGGAACCTGCGCTAGGTTTCGCTTTTCTTGCGACATCCGATTTGGCGTTTTTCCTATCGGATGGTATATAATTTGGCCACAGCGCAAATATCGCACGATAATCTTATTCCTATGAACAGCTTGAGCCGGGTGATTACTTTTTACTTAATAAAATTGAGATCACTGACAATATAATATGCTAATATGCATTCTGAATTTTAAATGTTACATTTTTCACCTGGAAAACCGCTTTGACATCGGTAACTTTTTATTATACGTATTATTGGTTGTTGATATAAGCGGGATATGAATAATATATTTCATTTTAAAGAAAATTAAGAACGGTATTATTGGCAACTCATTACACATGGTTCCAGGTATCCTCAGAAATGCACTTACCAGCTTGAAACCTCTAGTTGCATCACATTCACATATGTTGTTATTATTGCATGTTCCATCAGTACAATCACTATCGTCAGCACACACTGAATGAAGATAACATAACTATTAAACGACTGATAGATTTTAAGCTATTTGAATAAATTGGTAGCATTAAAGTGTCAATCACTAAATCAAAAGCATATATTTATTGTTGTATACATATTTTACTTTTAGTATTTTGTCACTCACCGATACACGACTTAAGGGTTTCGTCAAAATACCCTGTGTTGTCACAGGTCAATGTTTGTACATCCACATCGTTAGATCCTCCTGAGACATGATATCCATCTGTACACGTGACAGTGACCACAGCGTTTACATCATACGGTCCGTCCGCACTAGCAACTTGATTGGAGAGAACAAACGCATTGCACTGAATAATAGTACACAGTCTTGGATCAACGAGAGACTTCTTATGGTTGGCTTCACACACGCACACTCCATCTGTGCATGTTCCATGTTCACATTTCGATTCATCTACAGTGTCAATACAGGCTGAAGGACACAAATTGTATCAGATTATATAAAAACAACTTAATTTAATATTGAACAAAGTAAGACAACTAAAATGTAATTTAATATATTTTTCAGAATATTTAGGCTTTGACAAACGAAAACGCATTAAGATAAAAGATATCGTATAAAATACGAATCGACGGACTTGGTGAAAGTCGGGGGTATTGGATAGGATTCTAGTTGAAACCAAAAACAGAACCATCAACACATTCTTCATCTTATTTGGAAAACAACAGTCTATTCAAAGCCCCCTTGGATTGTCTTCATCAAATGCACTTACCCACACAGCCAACTGTACCAGCGAAGCCATCTACGGGATCAGGAACAAAACTACCAGCATCACATTCAACGTTCCCTTCGTTATCATTCATAGATGTAGCCCAGGAAATAATGTAGTTCTCAGAACAAGTGATTGTTGCTTTAGTACCATCGCTGTAAGTGTAATCTCTACTAAAGGGGGACATTTCAACCACATTTACATCAGTGGTTAATGCGTCACACTCTGGATTCTCTGAAAATATGAAAGATTTAGAACCGGAGTTATCAAAAGCACTAATAAAGAACACAAATAACAATTGAAACTGTCAATTTATGAATAAATTTATAAAAAATTGACAATTTACGCCCCGTCACGTCAAAGCAGTATCTTCTTTTAATAAATATGTTATTAATGAAAATAAATGTGCGACACTCGAGCGCAGTGAATAACAGTGAACAGTTCTCTTTACATTTACAAAGACTATAAAACCACCACTTCAGAATGTACAGTTTTGTGTACAGTGTCTCTACTCTCTGTTTTGAAAAAATGAATTAACTCTTATCATCTATAATATTTACTCACCAACACACGCCTCAAGGGCTGGTTCCAAATCACCCGAACTAGCGCAAGTTAATGTTTGATCTTTAGTACCAACTTCTCCGACATAGTATCCATCTGCACACGTGACAGTTACCTGAGTGTTATAATCGTACGGTCCAGTGACATCAACAGTCTGGTCGGTGAGACCAGTCAGTGCAGGACACTGAATTAGGGTGCATAATCTTGGATCGCTAATAACAGACTTCTCATAACCATCATTACATTCGCACACTCCAGCGTTGCATGTTCCGTCCGTACAGTCTGATATGCCGTCAGCACATGCTGAAGAAGAAAATACCATTCAGATTGTATTGAAATAACCATCATGGTATTGTATATTTTTTTTATTGAAATCTTTCAATTATTATCATCAGAATTTATCACAATGTCAATGTTGTATAGAATTTCTAAAAATGGACTAGAGAAACCAAGAAATGCCTTGACAAGTATACAGCGATGATAACAATCAGGGGACACCAATACACCCAAATAACTAAACAAAAGGCCTCGAGAGACCTGATGAAAAGTCGAGCAATTACATTGGGCCCCAAGTGCAAAAGGAGAAAAATGGGCAAATAATACGAGCTGTGACCTTAGGAGGCATTTCTAGGTTTTAAGAATAATGGCCACAACCCAGAAATTCTCAATTACAATTGGCTGATTTGTAATATTTCCAATGGAATGAAGTTTTAACGATAGAATTTAAATAATTGAATATAAAAGACTAAATCAAAATTGTATCCGAATAAAGCAAAAATGCGTGATGAGTACCTCAAAAAAAATAATAATAGAGAAATACACTACCCGTAGTCAGGAGAAAAAGAATTGTCAGGATCTGAACTAGGGCCAATATCTACAGATGCAGTACAAACATGTTCCTTCCAGATGTGTTTAATAAGTTCTGTTTTAAACACACCTGGTCTGATAATCTCTCGAAGGGAAAGAGGAAGTCGGTTCCAAGTGAGATGAGCTCGATAAAAGTAAGATTTAGATATAGCTGAGCCAGGTGGAATTGAAGATATTACTGATAAGTGATCAAGATGTGAGCTTCTCAGTCGGCTTGACCCGGAGAAGAAAGTAAGGTAATGAGGCAGAGTGGTGCATGGGTGGTATTGATGCACTAGGGAATGAAAGAACTTGAGATCATGGTAATCAAACCTGTACTTTATGGGCAAAATATTTAACTGTTTACAATGGGCATTATAGATTTCCTCTACACTATAGCTTACACCGTAATCATTACGAATCCATTTGAGGGCCCTTTTCTGCAATCCTTCAAGCCTATTGATAGTGCTGCTGGACGCTGGTCGCCAAATGATGGGACAGTGTTCGAATATTGAGCGTACAAGAGTAAGATACAAGACTCTTCTCTTGTTCAGATCATTAATAAAATGACAATTTCTCTTAAGCATATACAAAGGTATAAACTGATTTGCAGTCACTTTAAGTATTAACCATTCAAAATTCACTCACCAACACACGGCGCTAGGATTACGTTAAAAGCTCCCCCTTGGTTACATGTTACAGTTTGTTCTATAACAGTGTCGTCATCTGCTCCTTCGACAAAATATCCTGTACTACACGTAACAGTGACTGTAGTGGTTGGGTCATATGGTCCAGTGACATCAGCAGCTTGATTGGTGAGAGTAAGTGCAGGACACTGAATTAGGGTGCATAATCTTGGATCGCTAATATCAGACTTCTCATAACCATCATTACATTCGCACACTCCAGCGTTGCATGTTCCGTCCGTACAGTCTGATATGCCGTCAGCACATGCTGAAGAAGAAAATATCAACCAGATTGTATTCAAATACTCATCATGGTATTGTATATACAAAGGTATAAACTGATTTGCAGTCACTTTAAGTATTTACCATTCAAAATTAACTCACCAACACACGGCGCTAGGTCTTTATCAAAAGCTCCCCCTTGGTTACATGTTACAGTTTGTACTGTATCAGTCTTGTCAGCTGCTCCTTCGACAAAATATCCTGTACTACACGTAACAGTGACTGCAGTGGTTGGGTCATATGGTCCAGTGACATCAGCAGCTTGATTGGTGAGAGTAAGTGCAGGACACTGAATTAGGGTGCATAATCTTGGATCGCTAATATCAGACTTCTCATAACCATCATTACATTCGCACACTCCAGCGTTGCACGTTCCGTCCGTACAGGACACAGCACTATTACATTCTGAAGAAAATATTCAGATTACTATAAAATATAAGAAAAAATAGACCTCAGTCTTGACCGAAAACACAGTAATAAAAGATCCAAAAAAGTACTATATCAAGCGAGAGGCATCATCATTCAGCACAGCACAAAAACACCAAATGCCACAGACATTTGGAAAAATTCACGATCGAAATTAACATCTAAACTAAGTTTAAACTCTCTAATTAAACACTCACCTATCTAAAAAACTATAAAATTAGTAACAAACACTAATCAATAAAATGAATAACTAACACTCACTTAATCAATAAACTGAGCTAGAAATCACTTGCATATATTATATTAAAAGTAAGAAAACACTCACCAACACATTCAACAGCACCACTAAAACTATCTACCAAGGGCTCAGGAGCCCATGAATCACCAGCTCCACATTTGATCACTGCACTGTTATCAGCTGCAGATGCTGCCCAGGAATATATATAGTTCGTTAGGCACGTAACTGTGGCTTGATCGTCTAAAGCGTAAGTATCTTGGTCGGGAACCATGTTTTCGACATTTTCCGTTAATGGATCACAACTCGTCGCTGCGGATACGATGTGTTAGTTGTGATAAGAAATTGATAAAGATTTATGAGATTTTTTTGAGGTGATAAAATACGAAGAACTTGGAACTTATAAAGTTATGAGTCCTGACGGAGATTTCATTTAGAGTAAAGCTTGGTGCTTGGAGAGTTAATAAGGTTTGTGACACTAATTTACTTTTAGAAAACTCTGTTTCTATTCAGTAAAAACCAAGGGTAGTCTCCATCTCATCCTCCTCAGAGTAAACGATACAGTGCAGCGTTACACTTTACATCATTACTAATATCTATGTTCACTGATCACTTTTATTTTCACGATCTTACCAATACAATGTCATTGCCTAAATAGCTATCTTAATGGACACATTATGTCTACTAGCAGGAACCCGTCTTACCCTAAAGTGGTGTCAAGACTCGAGAGACTAAAATAATTATTACCTATTTAATTCGCGTTTTTGACACCACTTGAGAGTCCAAATTTTGGGCACTAAAATTATTATTCCTTGGCCAATTTTTTATTTTTTCATGCTGATTCGAAGGCCATTAAAGCATTTGACCCAGTCAAAAAAGTTTCAGTTGTATATCTTTTACGGTTTTTGCGGAAAGTCGCGTTAAAGTTGATGCCGTGGTGTCAGTAAAATGGCACGGATATATACACATATATATATATATATCGTCTCGCTTTATATATAGTAAGATTGAGCTGGACATGAATACTTGAAATAACCGGATTTAACTAGCAAGAGTGGTGAGACTTGGCTGGTGTAAAAGTGAGTGAACTACAGGCGGAGTACGAACAATGTTCAGATCATATTGTAAAAGATTGTTCACAGTTCAGTCATGGTTGAAGTGGGTTCACACGAGGTCTCCTCACCTTAATTTGTCACGAAACCAGTCATCCCCAGTATATTCAGCTTGTTTGGCCAATCAGCACTTTACCAATAACCCAACACATACACTGGGGCACGTTATAAAGCACGTACAATGTTTGGTGGGACACATAGTGCCGTGTAAAGGAGGACACCTGGTGATCCTGGTCCCGGCTACCTGGCCCCCCTCACCTTGTATCGTCTTACCGCGCTGTCCTTAGTGCACACTGTCACGTGACACTCGCTAATCTCTTGTAACGTGCAATCTATCTACCAATCACAGGATGGTAGATCACCCACGTGGGCGGGGTTAGCCAATCAGGGGGTGTGATGAGGTGGAGTGACCAGTTGGGGAGGAAGGTGAGGAATGGTTATGAGATATATAGTTCTTGTGAAGAGGAGGAAGGAGGGTGGTAGTCCCTCTGATCTTCAAACCACGTGGGGTTTGAGGTGCCCAGCAACGACAATCCTTAGCCATTATGTTGTTATATGTGGGCTCTACACACTATTAGGTTATTAGCTTGATTATTAATTTCATCCGACAGTTATTTAATGTGATTTAAAGTTTTACGGTGCGGCCCTTGGAGACATTCCTCGCTGTTTATTCCGTTATTTAGATGATGGAGTTTAGAGATGGGAGGAAAGGAATCCGAATAATTTGAAATATTCCAATTTTTAGGGGTCGGCTAAGTTGGTAAAGCACGCACGAGTTGAAACTTGATCTCGTGAAATATTTCAGGTCACTGTTAAATAATAATTCAATGGTCTGTTCGGCTTGACACCTTAATATATTGAATTGGTTATCAACTAACGGCACCTACTGAAACATAAAAAAATAAAATTTATCCACCATAATTTTCAGACAGTATTGAGTTGAACTGTGTAGAAAATGCACCAAAACCATCTCCTTAACCCTAACATTTATCTCTTCTTTGGTTACATTCTAAGCACACTCCATCCCCCGATAAAATATAAATTGAATGTAGCAACGGACGAACGATAACGGCTAATTCGGTAATTCAAGATGATTTATCACATACAGTTGGGTTCCAGGGCCGAGTTCCTGCAAGTATTGGTTTAAGTTGGTCTCGCTTACCCTCGCATCGTGTTAGGATCAGGACTCATTCAGGCCGGAATTTGATCACTCTAATCAAAATCCACATAGCGAATCACAATCTCTAGATAATACCTGAATTCAAACATGACTTTGAGCGACGGGGTGATTGGATAAATTCAATAGGACGGAATATTAGATTTCATCACATGATAATATTGTTCGGGAAGGTTTACACTTTAGGGGTTTGAATGCTGATAATAATTCCCTTATCAAGGATCGTAATGTTTAAATCGGACAATGGATATTATTGAGTCATAAGGTTTAATGTTACTGTTTAGTGTAGATTTATCATTTATAATTATAGAAAGGTACTGGGGAGCCTTGTTGGTAGGATCACATTGAAATCATAAGCCTGTCAAAATATTTGTATGCCAAAGATAAATCTCGAAAGGAAGCTGTTCATTTCTGACTCGTTCAAATTTCTTCATTAGCTTAATTTTATCTCATTTTAAACAACCCAAAGCGGCTCAACATTCCAGTGCATAATTTGGGTCCTCTCCCAGTTCTCTTTTTAAGTATCTACACCTGAATTACCATTGAAGTCATTTGACATCCTTTATCTTCTGCATTGAAATGTGAATATTCGATAAAATAACTGCTCCAGCATTCAGAATAAAGTTCCGGACCACAACTCTCACTGTCTGGTAATATGAGTAGAACCACAAATCCATATCAGCACCCATTAACCTTCCTCAGTAAACCCACCTTACAAATCTGAGCAAATCTCTCAAGCCGGTTATTGGTCACTGGTCACTGGTCACTGGTCACTGGTCACTGGTCACTGGTCATTTGTCATTTGTCATTTGTCATTTGTCATTTGTCATTTGTCATTTGTCATTTGTCATTTGTCATTTGTCATTTGTCACTGGTCACTGGTCACTGGTCACTGGTAAATGGTCACTGGTCACTGGTCACTGGTCACTGGTCACTGGTCACTGGTCACTGGTCACTGGTCACTGGTCACTGGTCACTGGTCACTGGTCACTGGTCACTGGTCACTGGTCACTGGTCACTGGTCACTGGTCACTGGTCACTGGTCACTGGTCATTGGTCACTGGTCACTGGATAGTGGGTAACCATATGGCTGATCCAAAGCGCACAATCAGGCGAAGGATCAATAATCAGAACGGCAATTATAGATGGGGTGAAGGCTCAAGACCGGATTCGCTCTTCACCCACAGGTCTCCAGCTTGGTTTAAAGACAATGTAGATTTATAAATATAATGAATTCGATAAGAAGTGAAAGGTGAGGTGGCAGGAAAGAGATGGGTAATGATGTGCTTATGATTTTATCAATACTTCAGGAATAGTCTTTTATAGACGAGAGGTAAAGTGGGGAGGTGGTAAATGTTTGTACTGATACGTGACAGTGATTAACCAAACAGCTTACAGGATTGACCAATAGGAGTCCAGTATCGTTGTCACATGTGTAAAAACCAGCTTGCACCACTTTACAGCTATTACCTATGTCCATTATACCTGATCCATCAATCTCTGCCCCCTTAATCTCTGAAGCATTGACGTTATAAAACTTGGAGTTAGGAAACTTAGAGTCAAGCCAACCGTCCCCTGTTTTCAAAGTTTCAACATTCCTCTTCCCAAAATAGCACAATGTGCAATGCACATGGTGCAATGTGCATGACAGATAAGGTCAAGCAGGAACGTGACATTAAGATGCTCTCATACTTCTAAAACCTGGACTCGTAAATATTGCATTACAACATTGTTTCTCACTTCAGATCTAACTTCAGATCTGCTGCTTTACTCCTAAGCATAAAGCAGCCTACCTACTTTGCATCCAATCCAATATTTTCACCAAACCTACCAGAAAATCAATGACATCTCTGAAATAATTTTGCACATGCGTGCCATGTATTGATACCTGATACAGTGCATTTTCGCAACCCCAAAGATTATTTATTGTCTCTCCAAGGAGATATGATTGGAGAAGCTGAATGGCATTGAGCACATGCTGTCACGAATCTTGCACACATTATACCAAGATTGGGGTGTTGGGGAGAAGCTCATACCAGGATCATACGTACTACAGTTGGCAACCTTTTAGCAAGTACATTCTTACAACGTGTACAGCATATTGGGGTGTGGGTGAAGGAGCATGTTTTGGAAAGCAATTTAATAATTAATAATTATAAATAAAGAGAGAGAGAGAGAGAGAGAGAGAAAGAGAGAGAGAGAGAGAGAGAGAGAGAGAGAGAGAGAGAGAGAGAGAGAGAGAGAGAGAGAGAGAGAGAGAGAGAGAGAGAGAGAGAGAGAGAGAGAGAGAGAGAGAGAGAGAGAGAGAGAGAGAGAGAGAGAGAGAGAGAGAGAGAGAGAGAGAGAGAGAGAGAGAGAGAGAGAGAGAAAGGCATGCTGGTCCTAAGTAGTTCTCGGTAATGAGGTTCCAGCATGTGCAGAACAAATTGGATGCTTCTAACCGGCTCTGCAATACTCATGCATGAAACAGTATGTTGATACTAACGTGTTACACTCACTGCAAGCTTGTCTCATATATACCTGGCAGACCATTCACCATACCACTAACGTTCTCCTTATCTTCTTATCTTAGATTTTGCTTAAAACCTAATTATCAACCTTAGCAACTAAAAATAGAGTTTTCATCCTCGTTAAAATCTTAGCTGATAGCCCAAACGTGTGTTACAGGCTTTATCTTCTATTATTTTACAGATCCCTTAATAAGACATTGAGATGGTGTGTTTGGTCATTATTCACAATGGTTATATGATACTACTGTTATGCTGTTATTTACATACACTTCCACGATAGGGTAGTTGGTTAACAGCTCGAAATAAGGTCAGATATATTACCCTGGGGAGTTTTTTACATTTTGGTGGTGAGTTATCACGACTGTTTCTCTGGTGGTAAATTCTGTGATCTTTAATGAAAAGAAAAATAAAAAAGAACGTAGCAACAAAAATCTCTGTTTTCTGACCCAAGCTCTAAAAACACCATCCTTCACGACCTTTAAACTTGAGAACTGATAAATCGAAACAATCCTC